GGTAACTCCTCACTTAATGAATTCTAGTTTTAAAACAATTCCACCCTTTCTTGTGAATTTTTCTAGGTCAAAGAAATAAGACAAAGAAAAAGAGATCTTAGAGGTTTTCAAGAAAGTGGAACTGAACATTCCTTTGCTTGATGCTATCAAGCAAATTTCCAAGTATGCAAAAGTATTGAAGGAGCTGTGTACTACCAAGAGAGCTTTCAAACTAAAAGGTCATGAAACAGTAAGTGTCGGTGAAGTTGTGTTAGCCGTTGTTCAAAAGAATCTACCTTCGAAACAAAAAGACCCAGGTGCATTTACTATCCCATGTGTTATTGGTAATGCTAGTTTTAAAAGAGCTTTATGCGATTTAGGTGCATCCATTAGTGTTATGCCTAAGCATGTTTATGATTCTCTTAGTCTAGAGCCTTTAAATAAAACTAGTATTGTAATACAACTTGCGGATCGTAGTTTTGTTTACCCACTTGGTGTGATAGAAGATGTCCTAGTCAAGATTGATAGTTTGGTTATTCCATATGACTTTTATATTCTTGATATGGAACATGATTCTTATGATTCATCAACCAGCACTCCTATATTGTTTGGGAGACCATTCTTGAAAACTACCAACACAAAGATTGATTGTGGTAAAGATACCTTATCTATGGAGATAGGAATGAAAAAATTGAATTCAATTTTCATGATGCAATGAAATATCCTCATAGCAATGTTTATTCTATCACATGCTATAACCAAATTGATAAGTGTGTGCAGCAAGTTTCTAATTTTGATTGTGAAGACGGATTAAGCATAGCTTTGAGCTATGGCTATGATTTTACTAAGATAGAAGAGATGGAGAGGCACGTGTGTATTCCCCAAAAGATGCATGAATCAGTATTGGCCTTACAAGCTTTACAAACCATTCCTTATGGTAATGTCTGTATTGATTTAGTACTCTCACATAAAAAGCTTTTGCCATCTATTTTACAGGCCCCAAATTAGAATTAAAACCTTTGCCTAATAATTTGAAGTATGTATTCATTAGCGATAACAATACACTTTCTGTTATCATAGCAAAAGGTTTGACAAGTATACAAGAGGGAAAACTTGTGAAGTTGTTGTGTGATCACAAGACAGTCATTGGATGGACTTTAGCCGACATCAAGGGTATTAGTCTCTCAATGTGTATGCATCATATACTATTAGAGGACAACGCAAAACCAACAAGGAAAATGCAAAGGAGGTTGAACCCGTCTATGATGGAGGTAATGAAAGCTGAAATTTTAAAATTGTTAGATGCAGGAGTCATTTATCCCATCACGGATAGTAAATGGGTGGCGCCAATCCATGTGGTGCCTAGAAAGACCGGAATCATGTAACAAAAATGATGAACTCATTCCTACTCACATCTTGAGTGGATGGAGAATGTGTGTTGATTACAGAAAACTCAATCTTTCTACGCGCAAAGATCATTTTCCATTACCATTCATGGATTAAATGCTTAAACACCTAGCAGGTAAGTCTTTTTATTGCTTTGTTAATGGATATAGTGGATACAATCAAATTGTTATTAATCCTAAGAATCAAGAAAAGACTATATTTACATATTCATTTGGTACATATACATATAGAAGAATGTTTTTTGGTCTCTGTAATGCTCCTATAACTTTTCAATACATATGCATATAGAAGAATGTTTTTTGGTCTCTGTAATGCTCCTATAACTTTTCAAAGATGCATGATGAGTATTTTTTCTGACTATGTTGAAAGAATAAGCAAGGCTTTTATGGATGATTTCACGGTGTATGGTGATTCTTTTGATAAGTGTCTAGAAAATTTATATTTGATCTTGAAAAGGTGTATTGAAACTAACCTTGTCTTGAACTATGAAAAGTGTTATTTTATGGTAGAACAAGGAATAGTTATTGGGTATGTTGTGTCTTCACGTGGATTAGAGATTGATAAAGCTAAAATAGATGTTATTTCATTATGTCCTTGCCCCTTGTGTGTGTAGGAAGTTCGTTCTTTTCTAGGCCATGCAAGTTTCGATCGACATTTTATTAAAGATTTCTTGAAGATTACAGCACCCTTGTGCAAACTATTAGCCAAAGAAGTAGATTTTATGTTTGATCAAGCATGTAAAGATGCCCATGATGAGCCTAAGAGACATGTCACATCTGCCCCTATCATCCGATCACCAGATTAGGATGAACCT